TATTTATTTTCATATTACAAATTTCTTCTGTGGTTCATGCTCAGAATCAGACTCATCCGTTGGCGAAATTGTGGAATGTAGCAGATGATCAAGTGCTTCAGTACCGACGTAGAGAAGATTATTTAATCGGACTAGGAAGAACCATAAAATCACTAATAAATGAAACATCATTTGGTGGAATTTATGTAAATGTTACAGAGAATAAGTTATATGTCTATATAAAAAATCCTACTACAGAAAATTTACCTGCACTGGATCCACATAGAAATTTGCTGATATTTCATATGGTGAATAAATCCCTAGATGAATTGGAAGTTGATTTTAATACTTGGGCTAATGGAGACAAACTATTTCCGCTAAGAGACCATTATATTTATATTGAAATAAGAAATAATGATGTCTTTCGGGGTCCACCTAACAAAACAACAAATGCCAAACATCCTGGTCCAAGCGAGGAACTACATAAACGAAATCTTACAGCAGAAATAAATGTAACAATCAGAGCTGGTGATGGTATTTTTCATGAATTTTATAAAAGAAGAAAGACATGTTCGGCTGGTTTTTTTGTACGTTCCAACAAAAGAATTAAAAGTAAAAAATTGGGTAATTACAAAACTTATGTCATAACCGAAAGAAATTATTGCTTTGAAGGAGATGCCACTACCAAAGGAAAAACATTTTTACATCTGCCATGGAATTCGAATCTTCCTACGTATAAAACGAAATCTGTGGGTACCATGGAACTCCCGAATTTTGCGAATCCATACAATTTTGCTGAAATCCAGATGACAAGTCAGTCCAAAATTAAAAGGTTACCAACTATAAGAGATCAACTTTATCAAGAGCTACGTATACATGATACTAAAAAAGAAAGTGAAACTATCCCTGGAGGTCACATATGCCATTCAGGGTTTGGTACACATGTTACCTGTGGATATATAATAGCTTTTAATGGATTTTATTGGGATGAAAATAAAAGAATATCTGAACGTTTGATAATTACAGATATGCAAACCGATAAAGAAGATTTAGGTGGTCCTGTATTTATGTATACTACAGAGGGTTTGAATGTTGTAGATCTATTTGGCATACAAGTTACTTCGGGTCCCAAACTTACTGCTGCTCTATCATATGAACTTATTCACGATATAACTGGATATACTCTTCTTAATGTGATTGACCTCAATTAATAAACTTTTTTTATTTGTATGTTTTTGATTTATTAATATTTATTTAATGGGTACTATGTAATTACTTGTGTTTTCTTGTTACAATCAGAAATAGTATTTTTACAAAGGTCTATATTCTGGTAAAGAATTAGTGCTTCGATAGTTATGTAAAATATCAGTTTACTAAATTATCCGAATATTAATATGTTTCACTTTGTAGCTTACCTTATCTTTACTTAATATTTAAAGTTTGGATAGAAACTACAATGACAATTTGGCTACTTTACTGCAATTTAATAATTATAAAACTTTAACTATTAAAGTATCCAATAAATCTATATACAGTTAACTTCTGCGTGTTAAAATTTCCATTTTACAGTATATTTTAGATTTTTTAGAAAGTTTAGTTTAAAAAGTTTTACTACATATTTATTAACAAAAATTATAAATGTTTTAAAACTTTGTATTTAGTTTATATAAAGTTAAAAATTTAGTTTGTCTATGCTTAGCTTAAAGTGTTGACTGTATATTTAAAATTTCTGGGATTATGCTTTTGTGTATATTCGTGCGTTATTGTTTTCTGGGGTTTAACAACAGAGAATTACAATTTTATAAATTCACATTAATTTGTTTTGTATATAACTGTATATGTTTTTCATCATTTTTCAACTAATTTGCTTTGAAATTAATATCTGTTAAACCTCTCAAAACTGATATACATGGTGCAGGTTTAGTATTAAAAGGTTATCAGATTTGAAAACGCAAACTATTAGAATTATATAGCAGAAACAAACCTGGCAGATTAATTTTTTGCAATTTGATAGGTTATCAGTATTAACAAAATCAGTTTTGAGAGGTTTAATAGTATGTATAAATTTAAAAGTAACACACATTAGCTATACAATTAATACCAATATGAACAATGAGAACACCACAACAAATATACCAGCAACAAAACTTACAGCATCAAATGAAATAGAAGAAATCTTTAAACATCTACAAAATAATAATATATATACAACATAGCTAGTTTTACATATTACAGACCAAGCAACAGCTTCTGAAACTCTTAATATTCTATATTACTACTTTACTATTAACAATATACCCAACTCTAGTCTAGCACTTTTATCTCTTATAGAGCTTATCTAAAAACCTTTCTACTAATAATGATAATATATCAAAATACAAACAACAATACTATAAATAAAAGCAATTTTAAAATAAATACAGATGCAAGTACTAAACAAATTTTAGAAAAATGAATAATAATATTTATGCAAAAAAATAATTTACCCAAATTACTCATATATATTATAGTCTTAATAAAGTTTAGTTATAAATAAAGTATCCAAGTCTTTTTTTTTTTTTTGGTATTAAGGTGAGGCCTTGCTCATATCTTTATTAATAATTTTATTGGGTAATAGTAACTACTAGTTGAATAATCAGCTAATGTAAATGTTACTACAATTCATAAAAATACAAATAAAATAAAACTATATAGCAAGAATAAAAGCTCAGACTAATTTATTTGCGATCTAAAAACCTACTAGAGTGGTTCTTGGCTTTCCTAGATTATAATGGAGGAAATATAATTAATTGAAGTACCATATTTGATCCAATGAACAGACTAAGTATCGAATTTCCTTCTAGCCTGGCCAACAGGTGGACAGGTATTAGGATAAATGTGTAATTGATCTGGTTCTCCACATAGACAAAAATAAGTATATATTGTACGAGTACGTTGAGTTGAATTAGTAGATTGTTTTGAACTTGAAGAGTCAGATTGTTGTTCAAGACTGAGAGATTCAGGTTGTGTAGAAGGGCTTAAATTATTAGAGTATAGATAGTTGAGTTTGTTGAGCTTCCTCCAGTTAGAGAAGTTAGAACAATAGGGTTTCCATATTTGTTCATATAATTGTTCTTTTATTTTAAGTAATATATTAATTACTGCTTGAGAGGCAATTTTGTAAGAGATATCATAGTTTTGAATAGTTTTAATTAAAGATATAGGAATTAGACCTTTGAGTGTAATATTCAAATAATGTGAGTAAGGTTGAAAAGCAAAAGTATCCAAGTCTTAGTTTTAGCTTTAAAGTATATTTAATATATTTATATAATACTGTTGGTTCTCTCAAAACTAGAGCTGCAGACATTAGAATATCAATGAACATTTATTATGATGTATGACATAATGTATATGATGTGACATTTAATATGATTATATATAAATTTTATATAATATAAAGAGTAACATATTACCTTAGATCTTCTAAATATTTGCAGCTTTACTCAAAACTAGTATATATAGTGAACAGGTTTTGTATTAGTTTTTGGAGGTTATCAGGTTTAAAAAATCACATGATAAATAGTTAGAAATTAGCCAATCAAATTGCAAAATTGGTATATAAAAATTTTTATCAAATTTGATCGGAAAAACTTCACTCAAAGTTTTAAAAATTTAACAGTACATAAATTATTAAGGCTATACAAAGATGATTTTTATTTTACATTAAATGTCATTTGAAATTTTGATCAGGATTAGTTTTTTTTTTGTTAATCTATATAGCAAAGTCTTTAATTTCTAAAGCTTTTTTGAAAAGTATTTTACTTGTTTAGATGATTTCAAGTTTATTGACTTTTAAATCAGTTAAATCATAAGATATTATAAAACTATATTAAATTTAAATATATCGATAACTTACAAAATATAAGAATAAGGAAATCACTAACTCTTTCAGATGATCACTTGTACCAAGTTTTCTCTAAAAATAATTGCACTTTTCTCAATATTTTATTAAATAAACCTACTCTGGCTGCCTAAGTAAAATTGTTTCTAGTTAAATTTTACATATAAGTGGTCTAGTTTTATATCTCTAAACCTCTTCTATATAGAAATATAGCTAATTTTATAAAATTTCACACTTGCTTTATTTACACAAAATTTTAATAAGTAAACATACTTTGCATATTAATACAAAAAGAATAAGCTCAACAATAGCTTCATTTGATATATTAAGCATTTCAAACTGATATAAACTGACAATTTTATAGCAAAAACAATACAAAAGTCTGTTGCAAAAATTTTTTTCTTTTTTGGGGGATTCTGCTCCTCTGGGATGTCCAAACCTGCCGATCCCCATTACTAATCAATATTATTAATCAATTTACACAATTTTAACCTCTATTACATCTATTCTATACAAAATTT